ACTTTTGTACAGTCAAGCAAAAAGCTAAACGATATCATTTAAGCTGTGTAATCGTATGATTTCCCGTATCAAGATGAAAAGTCTTTGATAGTAGAAATGAGAGTACTACTACTACTACTACTACTACGACTACGACGACGAGGGTAAATTTACGTTTATACTAACGCTAACTAGGGGAAAACGGACATAAATAGTCTCTCTCGATGCAGTTTATCGCCCGTTTCCTTTCTCGTAATAACGTTAAGCATCTTCCTAAGGCAGAAGAAAGAGAGGCGTAGTGTGATTCGATGCAAAACTTTGACTCGTTTTCTCTCTCTCTCTCTCTCTCTCTCTCTCTCTCTCTCTTTTGAAAGTTAAGAATAAAATTACCTAAGCTCTCCTAGGGAAATTAACTTTCACGAAGGGTTCTCTCATAGACAATGTGTCTTCTTCTTCTTTTTCTTTTTCTTATTTTTATTATTCTATCCTTTTCTATTGTTCATAACTTTAAGCATTATCTCTTTCACTCTAACTCTGTTATTTTACATTTAACACAATCCATCGTTTTCTTTTCGGTTTTATCAGGAATCAGTGAAACATAACTTTCACGAAGGGTTTTCTCTCATAGACAATGTGTATCTTCTTCTTCTTTTTTTTTCTTATTTTTATTATTCTATCCTTTTCTATTGTTCATAACTTTTAGCATTATCTCTTTCACTCTAACTCTGTTATTTTACATTTAACACAATCCATCGTTTTCTTTTCGGTTTTATCATGAATCAGTGAAACATATTTCTATGTACATAGGTGATGAAATTCAACTAAGCTCTTGTTGTGTTGGTGGTCTTGAAGATGGAGTCGGGATCCTCTTGATTGAATGAAACTTTCAACGTCGAGTGCCTAACTCTGAAGAGTGAGAGTGCAATAGAACAAGATAAAAAGGGATAACTATAGAAACTCTCTTTTATGAGATAGAAAGAGAAAGAGAGAGTGTGTGTGTGAGAATCAAATAGAAGTGTAAGTACTTGTCTATTGGTGTAAGGAATCTTGAGGAATACATAAGGAGACATGCGTTGAAGATGTTTAAAGAGAAAGAGAGATAGATATATATATATATGTATATAACTATGGTATGAGAAGAAGAAAAGTGAGAGCGTAAACTAGACGGAGTACATTCAAAACTTACCAACAGTATGAACTTTCTAGTTCACGCAAAACTTCTCTAGGTATATCCAACTAGGGTGTGGGATTAAGTGATCGTGGAAACCTGAATCGAGTGATTTCACCTTTCCTACTTCGACTCGATCGCTTCTTCGAAATCTAAACGATCCTTCAAACTCTTGTTATACTATTGGAACAAGCTTGAAACATAAGTGGACCAGTTGTAAACCTTTATGTTACATTTATGTAAAATACGAAATCCATTGATTCGTGAAATAATCGATTAAATCGTAAAATAAATATATTGACCGGTTATATAAAATATGAAAGTGTCAACATAGAATTACATACACTTTAATTGGATAATATAAAAATTCATGAGCAGCGATGAATAATAGTTAAAGTATGAAATTGAAATTTGATCCGTAGATTAAATCCGATAGAATAACACAATTAACACAGAACTTTGGTTTTCAAAGTATTAAGAAAAGATAATAATGAATAACTATGAGCATTCGTTTGTAGAAACAAATGCAAAATTTCATGACGAATCAAATTTCAATTTTATGCATCAATATTATACTTGTCTCTCTTATGAATTTATATATTATTATATAATACCTAATTACATATATATAATAAAACCAATTAGTTATATACAGTTATCGAATAAAATTATTTCATTTATACGTTTTCCTTAAAACGTTTAGTTATTACATGAATAACCTAAACTTACGTACACTATACAATATAATATACAATATTTCTTAAAGTAGGATCTCTCGTTAACGATCGTATTAATGGAATCGTGATTTTTTTTTTTTTTTTTTAAATAGATCATTTCTTTCCTTCCATTTGTCATGATTTCTATTAATACCATTCTACAATGTCTGCTACGTTTATATCCTTTCAAATGGCATTTACTATCGTCAACGAAATACATACAATGAAATTTTGTATCCGTTCGAATATAACCAATGAAAACGGTCGCAAATCGTGTGAGTAACTACTCTAAGAAATGAAAATGACGTGGCTAACGCTATCATCGAAAAGCTCACATTAGAGACGTTGTACTTTCATCACCTTCCCCCCCCCCTCTCTCTTCTATGTCTGTTATAATCCTACTTCGAGGATCAAAGTGAGTTTACGGTGCTCGTAAAAGTGAGATTTACGTTAGTTGTAAAATCGTACTTACGAGAAAGAAAAAGAAAAAAAGAGAGAGTAAGAGAGAGAGAGAGAGAGAGAAAGAGTGAGAGAATGAGTGAGAAAATGAGAGAGAGAGTGAGAGAGATAGGTAGATGGATACATAAGTGAAAAAGACGAAGTACATCGAGATATTTCATAAGGTAGACGTAGTTACGGTTTCTCGTCTTTCCAAAACTACGATCTTATTCCCTTTAGAATAGGATACTTACTTTTAAAGCAAAATGGCTCGACGAAAACCGTAGTTACGAATTTGAAATTCTCTCAGGTACGCCAAAATCTTCAACGAATATTGTAACCACACAGTCCTGGTTTATCCAATTTACTTCCACCACCTGTTCTTACCACGTGTTATGAAATACGATGGGTGCGTTATACACCGAATAAATACAATGAAAATTTATTCGTTTAGAAACAAAAGAAAAAAAAGAAACAACAGATCACATCGTGTTGTGCATAAAATGTGTTACATATTAAAATGAACAATTAAAACAGAAATATGAATTTTTTCAACGAAATTTTTGTTGAAATACGAAAAAAAGATTTTCTACGTCGTTTCACTTTGAAAGTATAATCTCAATTGTGTTATATTAATATTTTTCACAATAAAATAATGATTATAAGTTGAAAGTAAACAAATTGTATTCGATTGTGTATTACTTTGCGTTGACTTGTACTACTTAGCAGACTCGTACTATCTTTTCCTACTTGCGTTGACTCTTACTACTTATACATTTGTAACTATTTATTATCCATTAGTTTATTTGACATTTATTGTCAGTTAAAAAGAAAAAATTAAGAGAACAGTGTAAAAGAACTCGGAGTTAATGGTAATAAAAAATACGTTACAATTTTATTCATTATTTCTTATATGTGTGTATGTCTATATATATACATATATATATTATATACTACTTCGTAGTTTTTATATTCTCGCGGAGATGAAGTCATAAAGGAACGCATAAAGGATATTTTTTATTCTTTTTTTTTTTCATTGCACAAGTCGAACAACGAGGTGTTAATTTTCGAACGTTTCGCGCCGCGCAATGCGTCGACAGAAGAGAAAGAAAGAGAGAGAGAGTGGATAAGGGTTGTTGTGGGGAGGGGGATGGTTTGGAAGGGTAGTAGTCTCATAAAGCGTCGCGTCGAGTTCGCTGCTCCGTCAGTATGCGTCGCGACGTCCAATGAGAACGCAACGTTTCTTATCGTATCGCAGAGACTGTTGACACGTGTTTTTACCCTTTATCTCACATTTTAAAAAACTACCCTTCTCTGTGATTTTAATCATTTTTTTTTAATCTCCCTTCGTTCGTTAGTTATCGTTGTGTGAATAAATGAACGTTTTCAAAGTTAAGAATAAATTCATTTCGATATATTTGTCGGTTATTAGTGATAACGTGATATTTATAACAAAATTGTGCACGTTTCACGTGGTCAAAGTATGTGTCACGAATTATTGGGACTTAACACGAAAAATATTGATGTACGGAAAAATCGGTATGTCGTTATCTCTTTTTCAAAGTATATAATATTACGTTATATTAAAAATTTCTATAAGAGTTCGGTTATGTGAGTTAAAACAAAAAAAAACAATTCTATTTAATTGTATTACTTTGCGTTGTGACTTGTACTACTTATCTGACTCGTACTATCTTTTACTACTTACGTTGTCACTTACTACTTACGCGTTGACACTTACTACTTAAATAGATCGTTTACGTTGACTTTAACTACTCGTACTAATTATTTATCTTAATGTAGAATATTACAAATCGCAAATGTTACTTAATTTTAGATTCTAGCTTGTTCATTCATTCCTCTTAAGGGGGAGGGGGCGGGAAGGGAAAGAAAGAAAGAAAGAAAAAAAATGAGAGAACACCTTTTTAGTGTCGGTAAAAGATGGCACTTTATGATAGAACCGTAAGTGTAATTTAAAGTTTAGTTGTCGCGAGTCAGGAAGAAAGAGAATCGTAGAGCGAGGAGAACGAACAGGTAGGGAAACGCGAAAGTCCAAGAGTCGGGTGGTAACGGTAATGGCACTAGATATAATTCACGGTAATTTCCTGGTATAAGAACACTGGCGACGATGTAATCCTCCAACTACACGGATAGGGCGGCCTTCAAAGACAAAACTTAATTCATTTCTGCTGGCGAGGGTTTTAATGCGAGATAGAGTACAGCTGAAGTTGGAAAGTTCGCATACGACGAAAAGTCTCCCCTTTCTCTTTATCCCATTCGAAAATTTTCCTTGAATTATTCATGAAAACTGGGCAATTACAATTTTCTCAGGCTGCTCCCGTACGTTTTAAAATAAAGTTAAAGTCAAAAGTAAATTTTTTTTTTTTTTTTTTTTTTTTTTTTTTTTTTCGTATACATATAATATATCGGCTTTTGAACCGACAAATCTACAAAAAAAAAAAACAAACAAATTATTTCAAATCGGAATTAACCGAAAAGTAGCCAAAATATTTGCGGTATCATTTTAATCAATATATCGCGATGAATTAATTTATCAATAACATTTGACACAAATATAAATCGAACATAATTATCATACAAAAATAAACAGAAAATATATGTGTGTTCGCGTATTGGTATATAAAATTCTTTAAACGTTTAAATAATCGGGAACAATTTGTTGAATGTTCGCAGTAAGATCGTTATAATGAACACGAGTCTGAAGATTGGAGCCTCGGGAGCGTTATGGAATCGTTAGACAACTCGTTGACAAGTGAAGAAAGGACGTCAAGAATGTCTTGCGAGAAGGCATCACGAAAACTGAGATATTTGATCGCAAAGGCCAAAAGATTGGGTCTAACGACGGAAGAAGTCGCTGAATTGCCAGCAATAAAAAGACTCCTACCAGGTCGTATTATGTCAACAACGAGGACGACCCTTTTTATAATCGTCCTGATCCTTGGAGGAAGCCTTGTACTTGCTTTCCTTTGTGCCCCTTGCATCGCCAGAAGCAGAACTTGAAAGAGAGAGAGAGAGAGAGAGAGGGAGGAAGAAAGAAATAATATTACTAAGCAACGTCATTACTATTATTTTTCTTTCTTTCTTAGGTGAACAAACAATTTTTTCTCCTTATATGTCCGTGTGTATGTCACAATATATGTGTGAGATTGTGTATCTAAGCGTGTAATTTGATTCCTCCCAATCTCTATCCGTTTATATTATATGTTTATTTTATCCTTTATTATTTTTATTTATTTCGGTAATAATAATAATAATAATAATAATAATTATTATTATTATTATTATCACGTTGAATGTGTGTGTTCTCTCCCGATATTCCAACGTTAACTTATTCATTTATTGTCGTTATTATTTCGTTGATATTCAGTACATAAATGCATGGTAATATTTTATGGACGGCTCCATTGATGCTGCAAATTTGAGAAATTTGATTATACCGAGAGAGAGAGAGAGAGAGAGAGAGAGAAAAAGAGCAAAAAAAAAGAAGAAGAGAGCTCGGATTTGAATTAGATTGTCGAATTATTTCTACGACAAATGTGCTTCATTTTTCAGGATTTTTATCGTGAATAGAGAAAGAGAGAGAGAAAGAGAGAGAGAGAGAGAGAGAGAGAGAGAATAATGAGGGGCGACAGTTGCTTGTTAATTCGTTTTGCATTCGTTTACGCGACATCACGTGCGAGCACACGTGTGGGTAAAAACAGTTCATTTATTAGTCCCAGAACACTTCACTTTTGAAATGACTCGAAATCATTGGGAAAAACAAATACAAAAATTCGAAATCATTCAAATGATTCCCGTAAATATTAATTTAGGAAATTGCATTTATTTCGATTAGATTAGTTGATTCGTACGAATACACGCGTTGACATTTAAAATCTTATCTCGTTAATAATTTATTTAATCTATATAAATAATGAATAATAATGAATTATTAATATATAGATTTTTTATATCGTGCAATCACTCTCTTTCTCTTTTTTTTTTTTTTTACCTTTTTATGTACTTTCTCTGTTTATTTCTCGCGTATTTCAATTCCTAAACTTTATTACCGACTAATGTAAAATTTGGTTTAGTGTGTGCGTTTATTCGTTTGGTTTTTTTTCTTCTTCCTTTTCTTTTTTTTAATTATCGTTATCGTTATATCACAATGATAATCGTTTACTCGTCATAGACGATTAAAATTCTGGTTCCTCATCGAATATTTCAAGACAGGCAGGAATTAACGAAATACCAGCAAAATTATGAGCGTAATTTAGTGGAAACCCGCGGCGGAAGGGAAACCGCCGTGCGTTAAAACAATGGCCGGGATACGGTGCGAAAGTTCACTTCCATCCCCGTTCTTCGTCATTGAATTTTCCCGTGGTACATACCTATTTCTCCCTTGTTCCATAATTTATATCCCTTTGTATGTTGTATCCTCCAAAGGATTCGTTTTCGATTTCTGTTTTCATCAATTTTTCCAGATATATATATATATATCTATTGACGTTATTGATACGCATAATCGAGGATACATAAATGATTAAAAACATTTCGCGAAAGACAAAAAACAGAACAAATATAAATAAAAACAAACTGGTCAAGTATAATTATTTATATTTTTTTTTTAAATTACACGTTTAACATTGAATCAATCAACGGTTCATTTAAAAATTATATTATTCGCTTACAATTGTATTCAAATAATATTCAATTTGATATAGAATTGAATAATGAATAACGATAAAAATATTACGGAACAATAACAACAATAGAAAAGAAAAAAAAAAAGAAAAAAAAATAGAAACCTATATAACGATAATAATAATAATTTTATATATATTTATTAAAATACTCTCTAACTTGTCGACATTTTATTCGAACATAACCTATATTTTTAATAACCGAATGCAGATAATAATCAATTTGGCGTACTGACCTAAATAAATAAATAAATAAATAAAACGCAACGTACAACGGAAAATGAAATGAAAAATAAATGGGAAAAAACAAAAATCGTACACTATAAGCATACAAAATTTAAATTGAAAATTAAAAAAGGTAATCGATCGAGCATACAATTATCATTAGGTTTATTGTTAAATAACCTATTCACATTGATATTAAAAAAATATGATATCCCTGATAAATGTGGCATAGGTCAGTTATGAGCGTAAATATTACTTAGTAATATAAGATAGTACAAGGTGGTACTTGGGCCCTTCAGTCGAGTCTAGAAATTGCATTCTCAGCCGCAAGATGCTTCCGCGTGTGCTTTTGAAGTCGTATAGTGGATCTAGTAGGTATAGTGGTAGAATAGTAGTGGTGGTGGTGGTGGTAGGTAGGTAACGAAGGCTTTGGTACGCCGTGACCTCGAAGGAAGGAAGAGAGGAACCTCGAAGGGACCTCGAAAGCACCTCGAAAGCTTGCTTCTCTTTGCTTCTCGAGCTACGATAACGTGGCTGGCGTGCACACTTTGGTTAAGGGATTCCTACTTCTCCAGGGGGAAACTCCGGCCTCTAGTTCTCCCATACCTCCACCCTCTACCCTCTACCCTCTCTTCTCTTCTCTTTCTCTCCTGTTCGTTCCATCCTCTTCTCTTTCGATCAAGAGTGCAGGGAAACGTCGTTATCCGGAACCATTACCGAGGAGAACCTTCGCATTTTCACACAACCAACCTCCGGGGGAGCTTTTTATTTGTCCGATCGTCGCGCACTCCCGCATTTGATCCGCCTTGAAAAGGTCGAAGAGCTTTGCAAACTTTAAAAGCACCCCGTTCGATTCTTCCTTGCCCTTTTCTATCTATCTATCTATTTATCTATCATCTATCCATCGATATATCTATCTATCTATCTATCTATCCATCTATATATTGATCTTCTTCTATCCATTCGTCTTTCCATCTGGTTTCTATCTCCCTTTCAACTTTAGAATACGCTTCTTCGGGGTGTAAGCTTACTTCGGTTAGAGATCGAAGGATTGAAAAGTAGGTCGTCCATTATGCATTACGCGTTTCGAATAAATCTGGATAAATTCTCTATTTGAGGATCGGGCAAACGATAACGAATCCCCCTTCTTCTTATTCTTCTTTTTGTTTATATATCTTTCTTTCGTTTTCGAGACAATGAATTTTCATCTATACAACGATTAACCCTGAACCAATCGAAATTTTGTTACTTTTTATCCTTCCAGTGTGAACTGTTTGTACAAACGGAATACTTGTTGGTTGATATTATAATAATCACGGTTAACAATAATAAATTATAAATAATTATTTGTTTTTGTATAAGTGAAATATTAATATAAGAAAGTTTTGTTTTGGAATATTTTAATGCGTTTAAATTTCAAACGATTATTAAAGATATCGAATTTATATCGATGAACGCTTATATGCGTCCATTTCGAAATTCGAGAGAGAGAAAGAACAGAATTGTAATTGAAAAAAAATGATGTAAGAATGGAAGGAAAAAGTGTATGAAAAATATTATCGTTTGTTTCAGGATAACTCGAGGACGTCTAAGAGAGAAAGAAAGAGAGTAAGAGAAAGAGAGAGAGAAAGAGATACTCTGCTACGATTCTTTGGGAAACGAAATTTATAATAATACTCGTCGTTTATCCAACACAATGACAATTATATTCAATTAAAGTGAAACTAATCGAATCGAATTTTACGAACGTTGTTTAATGTGCTACAATTGTTGTCGAGAAGTCGGTGAAATAATGAAATGAGTGACCGTGATAATGATAACAAATAATTTACATTATTTCAAGAATCAACGAATTGAACGAGGATATGATTCGTCGTGATGATCTCAGATATATACGAATATTTGGTAATTATTTTGAGAAGCAAGGATAAAAACGCAGAAAATAAAAAAAAGAAAAACAATTCCTTATGTGATATCGCTCGGTTAATTTGTTTCATTATGTTTTTTATTTAATTATGTTTTTTTATCTTAAATTGTAAAGAAATTTTATCGAAAGAAACAAACATTTGAATATATATATATATATCAAAATTGTCTCTTTCACATGCGATTTGATTTATTATTTGATTTATTATAATCGAATTTGAATTTAATTAATTTAAATGTAATACAAGATATATGTAACGTAAAAGTAACACTCGAGAACTAATAAGTATATATATATATAATATTATATTATACTAAAATTGTGTTACGACATTTAACAATTTTCTTTTTGTAATTGCAGTAAAAAATTTTCTTTCCCATTTTTCTTAACTTAACGACCTGGATAAATAAATATTCTGCGAGTATTATTCGTGAAACGTTTCTCGTAAAAGTCGACGAAAATTTCTATTGGTAAGTGTTCTCCGTCGCTTTTCATTTATTTATTTATTTATTTATTTATTTATTAACAACAACGTGTAAAACACGTTAGATATATAATAAATATATGTTGTTAATTGTTCCGTTAATTCGTGTTAATAAATCTGGGCGATTATATAAAATACGTCGAACGATACAAAATCCGACTTGAAATTGATTGCAACTACTATTACGTCGCCCTTTATAAAAGGGAAATCGATTCAATTACTTTTACGTTACGCCCGATATAATATGTGAGCCGTTGTTTTGTCACAATTGATGAAAATGAAAGAATCGATAAATTTGACAATAGAAATTGTATGAACATTAAACGATTATCTACCCCCTTCTGTGGAATAATGTCAATGATTCTCGCTGGCTGATTGATGATTCGATTAATAATTGAAAGAAAAAGAAGAAGAAGAAGAAAAAAAAGAAAAAGAGGATAAAAAGGAAAAAGTGAAAAGAAAAAAAACGAAGAAAAAAAAAGAAAAGAAAAACGAAAGGTACACCTACCTAATTGAATTGTATAACGCTAATTAGAATTTCGCTCGAACCGTACCAATGATTTTCGAACGTTTTTATCGGAATCGTGTGAAACTTTACTTTTATATGTGATCAAATAAATTTTTAGGAAATCTATATAACCTTGCTTAATATTTATTAATTAACTAATTGATTTGACCTAAATACATTTATTCAATATAAAACCTTGCACGAAGTAGATAAACGAACAATTAAACACCTTTTTTTTTCTACACTTTGCACGCGAGAAAGTTAGGAACTTGCTTTTTTTCTTTTCTTTTTTTTATATGTGTACAAAAATTAAATCCTAAGTGCAAACCAGTTTTTTTTTTCTCCCTGCTATCTCTTGCGTCATACATTATTCTATTAAAATTAATATTATAAACTCTCTCGCACGTTTTTGTAACTCCATTTAGTTATCTTTCTCTTTCTCTCTCCCTTCTTTTTTTTTTTTTTTAATATTATAGAAGACATACGAGAGATAAAATATAATTTTAAGGAACGTTGTTTTTGCTTGCTTGCTTGCTTGCTTGCTTGCATTAAAAAACATGCATTTGTATTATAAAATTAGAAAACTTTAATTACTCTCTCATTTTGTTAATTATTTAATATTATCTATATACTTTTCTCTATATTATAATTGTTTTAAAACATACGATAGATATAAGATGCAATTCGAATAACGAATCTTTCTGTTTTCATAG